GTTGTACGCTCTGCTTAGGGCGTGTATTTTGGCTGAAGGTAGAGTTGCAACCATTTTCACAGACTCCAGGTATGCATTTGGTGTGTGCCATGATTTTGGTGTCTTGTGGAAAATGCGCGGTTTCTTAACATCGGCTGGTAAGCCTATTCAACATCATGCGTTAGTAGCTGAGCTATTAGACGCTATCCTGCTCCCTGCACAGCTAGCAGTAGTTAAATGTGCTGCTCACACAAATTCTAATGATCCTATTTCGCGTGGAAATGCGTTAGCCGACACCGCGGCTAAACAAGCAGCAGTTTCCTCCTCTTCTATGGTGCTCCAATGCCCCTCGACACAACCCGCAGAAACAATTTGTTTGCCTTCCTGTAATGATGTCGCGGACATGCAAGCCCACGCTGATGTTAGGGAGAAAGATTTATGGCTAAGACGAGGTTGTACACTTGACGCTGAGTCCAGCTTGTGGCTCCACCCAGACGGCCGGATGGTCTGTCCCCGTTCATTCCTCCATGTTTTGGCACATGTTGCACATGGCAAATCACATGTAGGAAAAGGAGGGATGAATGGGATTATAAAGTCACAATGGTTTGCTCCAGGCATTACACTAGCTACACAGACCCTTGTAGATAGATGCATGATATGCCAGCAGACAAGAAGAAGAAAAGGTCCAGTTCAGCATGAACATTTACCGCCCCCCTCGGGGCCCTTTGTAAATATGCAAATTGACTTTTCGCACATTACACCATGCCAAGGATTCAAATATCTTTTAGTAATAGTGTGCCAGTTCTCCAAATGGGTAGAGGCCTACCCTACCAGAAAAGAAGACGCCAGAACAGTTGTAAAGTGTCTTCTCAAAGATGTTATCCCTAGATTTGGTGTTCCAGCAGGGATTAACAGTGACAGAGGTCCAGCATTCATTTCTAAGATAACCCAGAGTCTAGCTACAGTGTTAGGGTTCAAATGGCAATTGCATGTTCCCTATCATCCACAGAGCTCAGGTCAGGTTGAGAGAATGAACTTGACTATAAAGGAGAAACTCACTAAAACAATGTTGACCACAGGACTAAAATGGGTAGACGCGCTGCCGCTAGTTCTGTGCTCAATCAGAAACTCACCAAATGCAACGACAGGGCTCAGCCCACACGAAGTATTGATGGGAAGGCCAATGTTTACAGGATCTAGCCCCCCAGTAATGCCCCACAGACTCACTCTTTTGTGGACAGAGGATTACATGACTAACTATGTCAAATATCTAACTGACATGTTGAGAAAGTTTCACAGGCAGGTGGCTGACAGGCTCCCTCAGCCTGGTGAGGAGCCCACCCACCCTTTTCAGATTGGTGATAATGTACTAATCAAATCGCTTGAAAAAGATTATTTGTCTCCCAGGTATAAAGGTCCTTTCCAGGTATTAATAGTGACCAGAACAGCCCTGAGAGTACAAGGTAGAGCGGAGTGGATTCACGCTTCAAGATGTCGTCTCTCTCCTCTACCGGATGCTGGCGTGTGAAGGCAGTCATCATCATCGTCATTCTGGGTTTACTGTACCTGGCCAAGAACGCCCTGCTAGATGAAGCTGTGAAAATCCCAACGACAGGTGGCGAGGGACCTCGCCCGTCTGAGGGAGAAAATAAGGTGCTCTTATCTAAGAGCGCAGACGACTTGACCACTCAGGGTCCAGACCCTGAGGGCAAAACAACACCAACGGGCAAAGAAGTGCCTAGCGACAAGGACAGGTTGTATCCAAACACCACACAGACATTCAGTATGGTGCAAGAGACACAAAGAGAGAGAAAAGGAGGGAGAATAAGGAGGATTGTCTCCCTCCCTGATCATAAGTCAGAGACTATTGCCTTTAACTGCCCAATTTCAATATGTGACTCATCTAACTGTATTATTGTGTTTCCTGTGTCCTCAGTTTACCCAACATGGGAGTTATATCCAAAAAACCAGTACGCTTGGTTCAGAGTCGCACCAGAGGGGGTAAGGATGGCTCTTAACACCATCGAAGAAATGCCCCCAGAACTGTGGTGTAGCACTGTAGAACAGTTCGAGACACTGATAAGGAATGAGGTAAAATGTACAGTGCGGAAGCCAGATTACCGCGTTCCCAATCTAGGTGATACTGCATGCACATTTACTGGACCAAATAGCAAAACAAATGTTCCATCTACTCCACTTAAACAATCAGGAGGCGAGGTAGATTCTTCAAAAAAGGCCTTAATTACTCCTTTTAAACAAACTAAAACTAATTCTGCAGTAAGTTTAATGTTAGACTACGCACATGAACGTAATGTTAGCAACTGTTGGTTGTGCCAAAATATGCCAGAATCAATGCATTCTCCTATGTTTAGCCCAATTCCTTTCACAAAAGCTGATTACGGTTTAGTAAACTGGAATGACATAGCATCCAGAATTAGCGACGAGGCGGAGGATTGTTATACTCCTTCCTACCCCATAGACTCTGAAAAACCTTTACAGTACAAGGGCTTAGTCTCTCTCATTATTGATACAGTAAATAAAGATTACCTGCCTGACGGTTTCAAACGTTTGATGTTTTTAAAACTAATATATATGAAGAAATACGTTAACCTAGCTTTTGAATATAGATTCCAGTTAGCTCTAGCTCAGACTAATTGTTCGGCTAACGTCACCAGTCCAACATGTACAATGCAACCACACACACCCGCTTTGTTAGTTGAAGCTTTGGTAACAGTTGTGCCCTGGTTTGGCTCTAGAACAGTGGACTCCGTTGAGGTTAAAATACATGACTGTACGCATCCAATACCCTTAGGCAAGCCCCCTACACGTGACTGCTCAGTATATGTTCCCCCAATTGTTGTGCATGAATGGAAGAATGTGTCCATCTGCTTCCAGAATGCAGTAGGATCTCACACCTCTCCTGATGTGGGACACAGCGACTGTAACGCCATAGTGAGAGTACATTTAGCCAGAATTCCCCTCCCACAGAGAGTTTACTTAGTTTGTGGGGACCGGGCCTATGGCTGTGTGCCATATGACGTTTTTTATGGTACCTGTTATCTAGCCTACCTAATCCCTTTAATCCGTAAAGTAGAGGCTACTGAGATTGCAGCAATACTTCCCTCTCTACACAGGAACAGCAGGTCTATTACACAAGGACAACAGATAGCTAGCCTATTCTTGCCTTGGTACGGTATTTATGTTACTCAGCAGGAAATTGTCGCATTGTCCAAAGTTGTGGAACACCATTTAAATGTATCCAACATAGCGATGTTAGCTGAACACAAAGAATTGCAGGAAGTTCGGACAGTAGCACTACAGAATCGTATGGCGCTTGACCTCCTCTTAGCTGCCCAAGGAGGAACATGCAAGGTGATAGGAAGTGAATGCTGTTCTTTCATATCTGATGCCACACCTGACGTTATGGACATGGCTCATGATACTGCCAGGGGAATAAAATAATTGCATGAAACTCATGGGTTTACATTTGGGGAATTAAGTGGAACTTTTGGATCTTGGGGAGCGGGGCTGGTTACATTTGTTGTTACTGTTTATCTTGGTTGTGCTAATCCTAGTGATCTGTTTGATCACTGTAGTTAAATTAGCCATACGAAGGGTTGCCAAGACCGCCCTCCAGGCCCCACAAAGACTAGTTGGGCATTCGACTGTAAAGGACACAATATTAATGTACAATGCCGAGCTTCCGGACCCCTGGGTCTCCATCGTGATCTCTGACCCGTGGGTACCTCCATTCAGCGATTGAGATGTTGTTTAAAGTTGATATTCTGAATAAAGAACAGATGTTTTGATAATTGATTACAGTTGATACACTGGATTAAAGGACAAATGTCTGATTTTTCCTTTTCAGGTTGTTATACAAATAAAATGTTTGATTTTCCTTTTCAGATTTTGAACAAATGTATTTGAATGAAATAAATGTATTACTAAGTACCTTACTCTTGAATAAAGCATAATGAAGTAAACTTAAAGTAATGTTAAAGATTGAGGACACTGTAACTTTACAGTTTACAGATTGATCGATTCATCACTGTGAATTTATACCTTAAACTAGGAACCTTAGCTGGATCTCTCATGATTCTGATTTATACCTCAATTGGATTTCTCATAATCCTAAATTATACCTCAATTGATTTCTTATAATCCTAAATTCTAATTGTGTTTTAATAAGTAATTGCCTTAAAGTAAATCTTTGAGATGTAAGCTGATTTAGAATTTGTGTTTGATGAATGAGATTAACTGAGTGATAAATGATAAAAGATCTTATTTTTGAAACATATATTTTGCTATAATATTGTTGTATCCCATGTGTTTATTATTGTGCCTTTTGACAAAAAATGCCAAGCACTGAAGAGAGATGATTTTTTATTATGATTGACTGTGTTCAATCAGGGTGATTGAAGTGTTTTCAATCTTGTTCTACTTTTTGATGTAATGAATGTATCTGAGCCCACCCAACTCTGAAGACGCTTATTGATTTAAGTATTGACTGAAATATTCTTAGACTAATGTTAATTGGTTATCAATAGATTGATAAAAAGAGTGAATCTGTAAGAGAATATTTTCATCTGATCTGTTTATAGAGTTTCTTATAGTTTCTTAGAATCTGTGATACCGCAAACATCTGCTTGTGGTATCAGTCAAAAACTCCTCTGTAAGTTGAGGTCACAGGTCAAACGCTTCTCCCATATCCTGTGGGGGGAAGGTTTCAGGCTTGTCTGCGTTTCCTTGAGACAAATAGATTATTGTCTCCCATTTGCTATTGATTAGGTAAACGCGGGCTTCTGTGGGCCCGCCTCTCCTCGTGTTGCTGGGTGCTTTGGGGCTTTTGGGCCAGAGATGATTTTGGGTGGACCACAGGAGGGTGGGAAACTAAAGTGATCTCCCCGGCCGTATTTGTCTGTACTGTGTTCAATACAACTCTCAGTGCTTTGGCTAACGACGTTCCAGACTCCTTCATTCTACCTCAACATTACAACAACAGAAGTTTATCTTCACATTTGGAACATTATGTTGTACTTTCATTCCAAACAACACCTCACCTGATGGATCAGTAACCAAGGCTCTGAAGGGACTCACTACTCTAAGCATGGAGTTAGCAGACAACAGTAGGATAGAGAAGAACTCCCTGGGGGGTTTTTTAGATGGTTGGCTGGGAAAGTACAAGGATTTCCTAGTGAGTGGACTGATGTCAGTGACAGGTGTGATCGTGATATTGGCACTGGGTTGTTGTTGTTTCTCAACCTGCATCCGCGCTTTTGCAAACCGACTGATTAATGGGGCCCTCAACCAAGAATATGCTAGGGGTCAATATCACATGGGGGGACAGTTTCCAATGCTAGTAGAACAGGACGATCCACCCCCATATACAGATGTAGATGAAAATGATGAGTTAGTTTGAATGAGTTTAAATAATATGGATGTTCAGAGATGAGAATGTTCAATGAATGTCCAGCCGAGGTGATTCTTTAAATGATGAAATCATGTGAAGAAGAAAAATGCTAAAATGGAGTGAATCCATTTCAATTTACTTATGCTATTCCAAGATAGTTTATTTTATTCATTATTATACTATACTATTCCAAGATAGTGTATTTTCATTTTTTATTATTACATTACACTGGTACAAGATATTTTATTCTATACTGTTCTAATATGATGGATCCCATGTTTTATAAATCATTGCTATTTTAAAATGGGTCGTTTCTTTTCACTTTGTAAAAACAAGTGCCTTAACACTGAGCGTGGTATGAGAACGGTTTCTGTGAAAGGAGGGAGGAAGAAATGTTCTGATACCAAGCCATTGCTGCTATTTTAAAGAGCCATATTGAATGTTAACACTAGAAGTTATGCACAAGGGAAAACTTTTATGTTTGAACACAGTCAAAGTATTTTTGTAAAATTGAGGCTATTTGAACCATTCCATTTTGATTGTATGTTTTTGATATGAGTTATGTAATATGCAGAGTTCAGATGAAGAACTCATTGATTTCAGTATTATACACACTTTTTAGGTGTGTAAGGAGGGACTGTTAGAAATTAAAATCAATGTTTTGATGGCATAATGTACCTTAAATGTACCTTTAGTTTAAATGCTGTTTTATACTGAAAAACCAGACGTTCTTGTGCACAACCAGTTAGACTTTTATTCTGAAAAACCTTCACCTCCGGTTAGCATGAGGCTAATATACCATTTCCTATAGAGGTGAATTTAGCAGCGATATGATATGATGTTGCACACCGAAACCTACTGATTTCAACACTACAACTATAGACATCGAGATATTATTATTGTTGGATATTAAATGAAGATACAGTTTATTTGAGTACGTTATCGTTTACAGATGTGAGTAGCATGTCACAACATTCGGAACGACCGGAAATCAAATTGCTGTGAAGGATTTCCTGTATTTTTTTGGAGTATTGATTACAGCGTTTAGAATGTGTTAAATGAAAAGTCATGAAAGAGTTAAGGAGGAGAAAAGGCGTGTTTAGATATATATTGAATGTACAATGTCTGTATCATGTGATATGCGTAACAACGGACATTAAATACACGGAGAGCCGGCCCCCAGGGAGGAGCCAGGAGAGGCTATATAAACAACGAAACCTGAGGGGTTCGGCCTCTTTTCTCTGCTAACAAGGGCCAGATGCACAGCTGTATTTCTGTTGGAAAATATCCTGTTTGTGACTTTACCGCGCCTTTTTTATTAATTAAAGTACCAATTTGAAAACATCTCAGAGACTCCATTTAGTCTCCTTTTTAAGCTTCTCTTTCCTGGACGCGAGAATAACCATCACAGTTAACAGGACGCACCCCTGAAATTCCCACCCACCTGGGAGGTTTGTGTCAAAATCTCAAACAAAAAATGAAGGAGCGCAAAAGAGAGAGATGCAGCGAGAGCAAAAGTCTGATCATTGAGAAAGAAGAAAGAAGAACTGCAAACAAAAACCTATATTAAAACAAAGAAAAAATACTTATAGTTTACATGATTACACAAATGATTTGTTTGCAACTTATAGTTTTATTTTTGAAAAGTATTTTATTTTGCTTGACTCAGTTTTTTTTTCTTTTAAACTCATAGTTTTGCTTTATTCTGAAAAACTGTTGCTTTATCTTTATGATACAAAACTAATCCCATAGGCATCCACCATAGCCTTATTAACAGCCTAAAAGAGGGGAAATCACTGGTTAATTGTCAAATGCCATGAAAAAATAAACAATGAGGTCTTGCACACCTGCCGTGTGTGGGGATGACATAGTGTTGGAGATCTGAGTGGTCTGAAACCCACCTCGGTTCTGCGTGTCCTTTTGATGAGCTGGTTTAAATCATAAAAGGAAGGAATTTAAAAGCACCAGGATACAATTTTGAACAATAATCTGTTTTAATGGTAAAAGACACAATACAATTTACAGAGTACTCTGGGCTCAATTCCACTACCGTGCTACACCGAGACGGTCAGTCAGAAGGGGCGCCGAGCATCAAAATATCATATTATGTATACACACAAGTGGGGAGGAGTTGTGTTGGTTGCTCCTCCCCAGCTATTTGTTATTGGCGATTTCACTTCTGGGCGAGCCCTAGACCGTGAGCTGGTAGTTCTCCATTGGCCAGTTCCACTTCTGGGCGGGACCCTAGGCAATGAGTCAGCAGCCGTGATTCCGTCTGATTCGCTCCCTCTCCTTACAGTGGTGTGTGTGTGTGTGTGTGTGTGTGTGTGTGTGTGTGTGTGTGTGTGGTGTGTGTGTGTGTGTGTGTGTGTGTGTGTGTGTGTGTGTGTGTGTGTGTGTGTGTGTGTGTGTGTGTGTGTGTGTGTGTGTAAATAAGGATGTTTCCTGCCATGCAAACTGCTCCTACTTCATACAGAGTAATTAAGCACACACATATATTTAAGCCAATTACTCCAAAATGTTGTGGCAATTTAGCACGCACGACATCCTTTGAACTTCCTCTAACCTCGAAGTCAGCTCACTTAACATGAATACATATATTGATAATTCAGAAATCAATATTAGAAACATGTCAACATTCATCAAACAGTATCTTATCCCCAGATATGGAGCAGGTCAATTCTAAAACTGTCAATCAATGGTCAGATTGAACAATCGAGTTGGGGCATGTTGAGGAATTGAGGGAAAATTGAAGTAACTTGAAAGTTTGAAGTGAAAGTTTGATACAGCGTATTTTTGGTATATTCATCTTAATGTCCCCTGATATATAAGAAGTGTGTTTTTATATATTCATGTGTGTATTTAATTACTTTGTATTCAATAATAGCAGTATGTTCAAGAGAAGCTGGAAATATGATAAGTGAAAATGAGTGTGCGTTAGAAGTGGAGATGTGAGCAGGGGAATGTCCTTATTTGAAGATAGGTCAGATCTCTGGAATGAGTGTGCGTTCTCTGTATATGTTATGCAGGGTCCGTGCAGGACACCCAATGTGTCTGTGTTACCTTAAATCAGGGGTGGGGAACCTCCGGCCCCCGGGCCGTATACGGCCCGCGAGAGCATTTGGTATGGCCCTCGAGGTAATTTATAAACACACGCAAAAAAGAAAAAAATTAAAGAAATCTAGACCGCAAAATAATTAAACAAGCGAGTGCCTGTTTTTCCTGGCAACGGTCATGGTCCTTGAACACAACACGAGCCTAACGTGTCATCACGTGGTATATGTCTCGTCTGACGGGGGTGCAATTCTGACGGAGAGCACCAGAACGTCGCTCCGGGACTTCAAAAAATGGCAGTACCCATAAATCCGTACCGGTCCGTACACATGCTGCAGTTTTTGCGTGTCTGTGTCTTTAGTTGAAAGCCCAGTGGCGATCTGCTCATCTGTCATCCTGATCATAACTTTGTTGTTATTAGCATCTGGTTAGCTCGCTATGCTAACGAATATAAGAAGCTTTCTCTCCAACCAGTGTGGTAAAGGCACATCTTTATATGATCATTATAGTTATACAAAAATAAGAGAATAAAGTAAACAGGTATAAAATACTATGACAGTAAAAAAAAAGTTGTTATTAATAAACAAGAATACAGTTTGAAAGGAGAGTGATTTGTAAAATATCCATAAAGAAAAAGTAAATCTGCTTACAGTTCTGTTTCATATGGGTGTTGAGAGATGTTTCCATAGATCTCTTCATGTTGCTCTCAAAGTGCACCAGATTGATGCTTTCAACTTCAATATTTAAAAAAAATCTTCCCGGGGGAGCATGTCCCCGGACTCCCCTAGAGGAGGTTAGGTCCCCCCCCACTTAAATCATGTCCACATGAATAGGAAACTAAATACATTTGCACACATCTTGTGTCCATATCTTTCTGTTTGGTGGTCATGCCACAACCGTGCACGTGCATGCATGCGCGAGTCATGGTGAGATATCTGGATTAAGAGGTTGCTTTTTCTTTGCACAGAATGAAAGAAAGGTGAAATGAGTGGGCTGTGATTTTTAAGCAGAGGTCAATAATTTGTGCGGCCCTCGGAGGATGTTGAAAAAATTGAAATGGCCCTTGAGAAGAAAAAGGTTCCCCACCCCTGCCTTACATGGTAAAAGAAGGGAAATGAGTGTGCGTGAAACCTGCTGAAATACCAAATGTTTTTGCTTCAAACTGAGACTGTTTTTGGGTCCTCTGCTGGCACGCGCTGATTCGCTGTGACACAGCATCTTTTGCATCTCCCAATGAGATGACCTGAAAAGATGACCAGCTGACCCAACCCCTCCTGTTTGTTTCTTGCATGAAAGCCTGTTGAGGCCTGGTGTCCGTCCTCTTCCCTCCTGCTGCCAAGACGAGTTACGGCCCGTACACACAGCAGCTTTTGGCGATTTGTCCACCGCTTCCAGCGCGTCTCCGCCCATTGACTTTGAATGGGGATGACGTCACTTTCCCTCGCTTGTCGCCGAACTGCATTGTGGGGGGGCGAGGCGAAGATTTCCAGGATTTCCAGGATGTTCAGGATTCCAAAGTTGAACAATGTTCAACTTTTGAGGCTGAGCTGGAAGCGACAGCCAATCAGATCCGTTTATGCAAATCTGACAGTTCAAGCGCTAGCCAATCAAACCGCGTGCAAGCTGGGAGAACCAGACCCGCAGTTCATTTCTATATTCCACAAAAATGGAGGAGAAGTTAGTTATTGCGGTAGCAAATCACCCGGTTCTTTATGACCAGTCCCTATTTACTTACCGGGATACAAACCGGAGGAACCAGGCATGGAGGGAGGTGGCAGAGGCAGTGGGTGAAACTGGTAGGTTTTCGCTTGTTTGGGGATTTTATATCCAGTTTACTTCGTTGCTAGTTTACTTTGTTGCTAGCAAGCATAGACAGTATCATTAGCCAGCATGGAATGTAGCATAAAATAGCACCATAGACATTAATCTCATAAATGTTCAAAATGTTCAAAAAATAAATGTTCATCATAGCCCTTCCCACACTTTACCTCTGCCACATCATAGACTATATCTGCATCACATTAATGCACACTGTCATATTCCTTTATGCACATATTCTGATTTCACATTTCTTAGTTTATATGCAAAAATGCATTCATAGCATTCTATTTCCATGTAAATTACTGCTTTATGTAATTGTTATCTTATTGCAATTTAACTGTATTTTATATTAGATTTCTTGTTTTTTATATATGCACCATGACATCAAGTCAAATTCCTAGTATGTGCAACCTACCTGGCAATAAACCTGTTTCTGATTTTGATTCTGATAAAGTGTGACAAAACCTTTTATGCAATTGACAGTGATAAAGGGATTAGGTTTTCATTAATGGAGGAATAATTTTCATAAATTAAAGAAATTAACTGTATTCTTTCATTTCATTTTATTAGACGAAGTGTGCAGAAAGAAATGGAAGACACTGAGGGACAAGTACAGGAAGGAGAAACAAATTGAAAAGGAGGGGAAAAGAAGCGGTGCAGGGTCTTCGGGGGGACATAAGCCCTGGCATCTCGCGGCAGTCATGACTTTTTTAAACCCATTCATGATTGACCGTGAGACGTCCAGCAATGTCCCCCGGCAAACCCTTCCTCCATCCACCCTGGTGCCAGATGAAGAGAGCCAGGAAAGCCAGCCAGCCAGTCCAGCCAGTCAGCCAGCCAGTCAATCAGTCAGTCAGCTAGTCAGCCAGCTAACAGCCAGCAAGCAGAGCAGACAGGACAGGAGGAGGCGAGTGTTGCGGGGAAAAAGGAAAAGGAGAAGTGAGATGTCCTCCTTTCAGCAAAGTTTGCTGTCTGCCGTCGGTCCTATTCCCATTCACCCCCACCAGTGGTGGTGGAGGAGGACGAGGACCTGTCATTCTTCAAGAGTCTCTTGCCCACCATGAGAGTGATGTCAAGACAGAAGAAGTTAAGAGTCAGATTTGACATTCACAAGGTGGTTTTAGAGGCAGACCAGGAGGAAAATTGATTACTGATACTGATCCACATTACATGTTTTTACACTCATCACACACTTCACTGACAACATTACATAAATAAAAGTTATTTAAAGTATGTTATGGCTCTACTGTGTCTTCACTTGTTCATGTGGTTTGTCAGTTGCAACATACCAGAAGCTTCATGTATGTCGATATATAATGTGCCGTCTTCTGTAATTGTTCAGGTGAAAACCTTTTGTAATCATGGGTGGTTTATCAGTAAAAACAGGGCTGAAGGAAAAAGGTTGTTAGTCATATCATAATATAATAATATCAATTCAAGAAACATGTTTATTAGGAATGTTTGATTTTCAAATGGCTCATTTGGAATATTTGCTTTTTAAAGAAAATATGGGTAGCTCTTAAAAGAGCTTTTGGTTTGTAGACAATGGTGACCCTCACCCTACACCACATTCTTCTGCCATCGCACTGCACCCTCCTCATTGAAGTAGGAGCTGAAGGTCTCCCTCAGTTGGATGGATCTGCGTGTGGCATTGTTGGAGCCCATCCTCGGTGCATCACGCAGGGTTGAAGGAGCTGGAGCTTCATCTGTGGACTCTGCAATAGGTGTGCATGATGGCCTTCCCATCGTCTTCCTGCGGAGGAAGTTGTGCAACACACAGGTGGCCTTCACACACAACTCTACTACCTCCGGGCTGGTGGTGATGACACGCCTGAACATTCTCCACTGGGATGAGAGGATGCCAAACGCACATTCAACCACCAACCTGGCACGGCTGAGGCGGTAGTTGTACATCCTCCTCTCGCGTGTGATCTGGCATCCAGGGAACGGACGCAGCAGGTTGTCCAGCAGCGGAAAAGCCTCATCTCCTACAAACACATGGGGAAGAAGGCCGAGCCGCTCTGCTCCTGGGATGACGGTATCAGGTGGTAGCTGCAGACTGCCATCTCGGAGGCTCTCTCCAAAAGCGGAATTCCGCAGGCTCCCACCGTCGCTGCTCCTTCCAAAACCTCCGACATCCACTACCCTGAAGAGGTACTGGGCATCCATGACAGCCAGCAGTACCAAGGAGTGGGTGGACTTGTAGTTAAAAAAACAGGGACCCAGAATTTGCTGAAGCCTGGATCACCACGTGCTTCCCATCAATGGCACCAACGCAATTCGGAAAGTTCCAGCGCTCCTGGAACCCAGCAGCGATGGCTCTCCAGTCCTCGGTCTGTGGTACCGGCATGGTCTCCTCAACCAGGGCGGTCCAGATGGCACCCGCAACCTCCCTGACGATGACAGCCACTGTTGAATGCCCGACCCGATAGCTGAATGCTATTGTCCTGTATGAGTCACCGGTTGCCAGGTACCTGAGAAAAAAACAAAAACATGATTAAAATAAATATGTCAGACCCCACATACACACACACACAGATCCCCCCACACACAGACCACAGAGATCCCCCCCACACACAGACCACAGATACACACACAGAGATCCCCCACACACGGACCACAGACACACAGAGATCCCCCCCACACACAGACCACAGACACACACACAGAGATCCCCCCACACACAGACCACAGACACACACACAGAGATCCCCCACACACAGACCACAGACACACACACAGAGATCCCCCACACACAGACCAGACACACACACAGAGATCCCCCCCCCACACACCCAGACCACACACGCCATGTACACAGGGGAGCAAGACTGTGTTTACCTAGCTATCTAAATTAATGTTATCCATCTGAACTAAATCAAAGACTTCAGTCATCATTCATCCATGGCATGCATTATCTCTCTTTATATACAGAGTCATATTAAAGAAGTAGAAATACACAAAACTTACCGTAGGCAGATGGCGAGTCGCTCGGCGGGTCCAATTGAAAAACGCATATGGGTGTCAGCCTTTGTAATCAGTGGACCCACTTTCTGGAGCAACTCGTCGAAAACATGTTTGCTCATCCAAAAGTACTGCTGAAACAGCAGGTCATCCATACGGAGTTCTTGGACCAGAACGTGGTATTCCCCCCGTTGCAGACGTTTTCGGAGTATTGGATGTACCCAACAGTGACGAAAACTACATGGCCTCCAGCGAGACATTGCATCCACTAAATTCACCCTTGCTACTACACTTGCTACCCTTGCTACATAACCGGCATCCATTTTGACAATAGTGTAGAAGAACCGTTTTTTTTTGCTTTGTATGTCGGGGGCGGGATATTCATGTGATTGGTTGTTGGTCGCGAAATCCCCAAGCTGTCAGACACGCCCAGCTCCAGGATTTTCAAGATTTGGTCAAAGCTGCTGTGTGGACACACCGTAAGTAAGAGTTCCCAGCGGGAGGACAGGGCCGGAGTAATCCGGATTACTTCGTGATGTGTTATTGTGTCTTTTACCATTAAATCAGCATATTTGTTATAACTTTACCAATGGTTGCTGTGAATTCTTCCTCTGTTAATCTGACCCATTCACAAAAGGACGCGTGGAGGCAGGGGGGGGGGCCTTAGAACCCCCGCCAAAGAATGACTCTGCCACAACAAGTGCCACAGGGCTCAGTGCTCGGACCTATTTTGTTCACATTATATATGCTTCCGTTAGGCAATATTATAAGGAATCATTCTGTAAATTGTCATTGTTATGCGGATGATACTCAACTATATTTATCAATCAACTAAATAAAATTCAAGACTGCCTTAAGGACTTAAAAACGTGGATGACCTTGAACTTTTTGATGTTAAACACGACCAAAACTGAAGTTATTGTACTTGGCCCGAATAATCTACGAAACAAATTATCTAAGGATATACTAACTATGGATGGCATTCATTTGGCCTCCAGTGAGACTGTAAGGAATCTTGGTGTTATATTTGATCAGGATTTATCCTTTAACGCCCACATAAAATCAACTTCAAGGACCGCCTACTTCCATCTACGTAACATTGCAAAAATCAGGCATATCTTGCCTCAAAACGATGCAGAGAAACTAGTCCATGCATTTGTTACTTCAAGGCTGGATTATTGTAACTCCTTATTATCAGGGTGTACCAAGAAGTCAGTCAAGTCGCTTCAGCTGATTCAAAATGCTGCAGCTCGTGTACTAACCAGAGTTAGGAAAAGGGACCACATTACTCCTGTTCTGGCTGCCTTACACTGGCTCCCTATAGAACACAGGATAGAATTTAAAATTCTTCTTCTCGCCTACAAAGCCCTTAATGGGCAGGCGCCATTTTACCTTAAAGAACTCATTATACCCTACTGTCCTACTAGGGCATTGCGTTCCAAGAATGCAGGGCTGTCGGTTGTTCCTAGAGTCTCTAAAAGTACAATGGGAGCCAGAGCCTTTTCTTATCAAGCTCCACATTTGTGGACTCAGCTTCCAGTTTGTGTTCGGGCGGCAGACACCCTATCCGTTTTTAAGAGTGCGCTTAAGACCTTCCTTTTTGATAAAGCTTATAGTTAGGGCTGATTAGATTCAGCCCCTAGTTTTGCTGATATAGGCTTAGTTTGTCGGGGGACATCTTACTTCTTCCTTCTCTCTGTCTATACCTGTGTACTCTCATGTTCCGATTAACCCAGCTTCCCCAAATGTCTTTATTTTTGGTGTCTATATACGCCGGGATCCGGAGTCATGGATGATCCTGCATCGCGAGCCCTGGATCTTGAATCGTGGCTGTGGTCCTGGATCATAGGTCCTGGATGGATATCCTCGTGGATTCATCTTCCTATTATACACACATGCATTTCCAAACATTTGGACTACCTATGTTGCAAATGTATTATCTTTTCAATTTACACACGGCATCTATTGCACGTCTGTCCGTCCTGGGAGAGGGATCCCTCCTCTGTTGCTCTCCCTGAGGTTTCTCCCATTTTTCTCTTTAAACTGTGGGTTTTCTTCGGAAGTTTTTCCTTGTACGATGTGAGGGTCTAAGGACAGAGGGTGTCGTATTGTCATACTGATATTTTGTACACACTGTAAAGTCCACTGAGACAAATGTAACATTTGTGATATTGGGCTATATAAATAAACATTGATTGATTGATTGATTGATTATGACTGCCTGAACGTGCAGTTGGCGGTAGTCACTGATTTTATGTTAAATCGGCAAAACAAAACTTCAGCCGTTGGCAGCACACGGAGCCCAACATTATCTCATATTTGTTCAGAAAATGAATAATAATCCTTGTCACAGACAAGGAAAACATGCGGAAAACAGTCGCTGTTTTTTAAAAGTTTATATGATGTTATTTTAAGTGTGGAAAGGGTACCAACAACGATAGCTTAGCCCGATCCGATCTCCATTCAGAAAATGGCTGCTTTAAAGTGTTTTGCCTGCAGTTTTGCAACTACACTTCCCACAGTAGTCAATCATCGTTTAAATTAATCGGTGTCAGTATGTTGTTGATTCGGCCTCATTGTTATACGTTTATTACAATGAAATCACAGCAAATAAGCTAACTAAATGTACTTACTTGGACCGAGACCGACTCACATACACACGCGCGAGCACACTAACACAGCCACACGTGCGCCATGCCCAACACTAGCGCTGACCTAATGTCAGCGCTAGCTTGATAGCTAACATTAGCAATACATGGTGTCATGTACATACACACGTCCCCGTAATTGTAAGATACCGAGCGAACACAGCACTATATTGGAAAGGGGTACAAACATTTATTGAGCAGAAACATTTCATTTAATTAACTTACTTTTGGAGACTCTCACAGAGGTTGGCTTTGTGTAACCAACTGTTACTTTTCGCGGTTGTCGACACCTCTTCTTCTGTACTTTTTTCCGGCAGATCCTGAGGACCAATCACAGCTCCGGACGCCACTTGAATATATACTTCATTTCCGGTTCTAACCCCATTCGATTACATTGATTAAAATGTTTCAATGAAATCACGTTCAGTCAAAGCAATTTAAATACAGAGATTTAACAAATAAATGTAATAAATGAAGTCTGCTTAATTAAATCACATTCAGAGGCAGAACATGAACTAATTCCGTTGCATTTACT